CGCCGGCAATTCGCCGGCCTCCTTCGACCTCGTTATTTATCAGGGAAAAAATTCGCCGGCAATTCGCCGGCCTCCTTCAAGCAGGCACCGGGGGACATGTTTACATACTAAAAGAGAACCCTGGGCCCGAGCCCTTTCCGGGAAAAAGAAAAAGAATGAGGATGCGTGCCGCACGCGTTGAAGCATCGAATGGTTGAGGCGGCGGGGGGGAGGGGAGGCGCGGGGAGGAAGCGGGGGGTCAAGCAGGCACCGGGGGACAGGGTTTACCCACTAAAAGAGAACCCTGGGCCCAGGCCCTTTCCGGGAAAAAAGAAAAAGAATGAGGATGCGTGCCGCACGCGTTGAAGCATCGAATGGTTGAGGCGGCGGGGGGGAGGGGAGGCGCGGGGAGGAAGCGGGGGGCACAATATATCGTATAGGGCCAGCTCGCGCCAGCAGCGTGCCGCCATTCGCGCGCGCGTGCGCCATCTCGCGGGTTATAAACATTGCTTGAGAGTGCGCGGCTCATCTGTAGGCGAGAAAATGAAGCCGCGCGGACGGGATGCATTGGCGCATTTCTTTTGTTGCTCTTGTTCATCATTTGGTTACTGGTTTCCCCTTGAGATACGGCCGCACTGGCATCATGTCTGTGTCGTCGCAACGTGTTTGCGGCAAGTTCCATGAACATGCTTCAGCCGAGTTTTGTAAGCTCTATTCCGAGGATCCCGGTGGTTCCCAGTTGCACGTACAGTGGGAGAGCAAGTCCATGAGAACACGCGAGTGGGGACGAAACATATAAATATATAGAGAGAGGGGGATCGCGAAAGCGAGACAGCGAGGGAGAGAGAAAGGGCACGAACAACGGTACGTACATGGATACGCATCCACGTTGGCGATTACACATATATTTGTAAACATGTATGTGTATACGTATGTGCATATTTAAATACAAGTGCATCCGTATTGGTAGATCATATACAGGAAACCCGGCCCGGGGGGGCCCAGAGCCAAAGACCACCAGGGGCACCTACGATACACTGTAAGGCCCCCTCCCCTCCCAGAATCCCAGAGCTTCCCCGGGGTGTGCCCGGAACCGCCCCCGAAACGCCAGGACCCACCGTAGAACTTCCTTATGTTTGAGATGTTTCCCAGACTCTTCCAAAACGGCCGAAGGTGGCCTCAACACGGCTCGTGATGACGCCCCCAAAACGCCCCCAGCTGGAGCCAAGAGGACCCCGTTCCCAGGGCTTCGATCGGGAAACATCGTTCCATTCTTCGAGGAAGCCGCATTTGCTAGCGTAGTTACGCGTTTGTCACGCAAGCGTCCCGAGCGGTTCCACGAGGCCCCCGAGAATGCCACAAGGCCGCCGAAAAACTCCCCCAAAGGGCCCCAATAACCCCAAGCTGGCTTCAAGACGACCCAGGAGGCGCCCAAGACGGCCCCACGGCGTTTAGAGGAAGGCCCCGCGACGCTCATAAAGAGGCTTCCCAAGCGCCCCCCGACTGGCCCTCCGATCGCCTTCGGCGCCACGGTGGCCCTCGAAGCAGGCCGACGGCCTCCAAGGGGCCCCCAAAATCACCAAAGAAGCTTCCAAGAAGTACCGAATATGCCCATATTAGACGCCCAAGTGGACCCCACGAGTCCCCCGAGCGGCCCGTAGAGACTAAATTCCCAACCATCCTGTGGTGTTGGGTTCTCGTTTTGAAGAGACAGCGCCCCGCGTCCCACCTTCCTCCTTCCTCTTCCTCCCTCCTCCCACCCTCATCATCGTCATCATCATCATCGTCGTTATCATCACCGTCATCACCATCATCGTCATAATCCCGCACACCCATTTCGGCACACCCCTCACACGTTTCGTGGCCCCATAAGGAGCTCCGCCGAAGGTCCCAGTGGGTGTGCCCGCATGCGTCCCGCACACCCATTTCGGCACACCCCTCACACGTTTCGTGGCCCCATAGGGAGCTCCACCGAAGGTCCCAGTGGGTGTGCCCGCATGCGTCCCGCACACCCATTTCGGCACACCCCTCACACGTTTCGTGGCCCCATAGGGAGCTCCGCCGAAGGCCCCAGTGGGTGTGCCCGCATGCGTCCCGCACACCCATTTCGGCACACCCCTCACACGTTTCGTGGCCCCATAGGGAGGGCACATAATAATGTAACACAATACAACATGTAGCAATTATGCAATCATTGGATACATTGGATACGTTGCATTATAGCCTCCGCGGACCTGCCTCCGGCAACACGTCACTTCCGGACGTGGATTTTGTTTCCATATGCTTACGCCACATCCGCCGACCCTTTGTCATTTTTTGGTTCCGCGGGACCGCTTACCAAATCTTCTGTGTAAGCCGTGGGAGTCAGCCTACTCCGGCTGGTCGTTGTGAGTCCTTTGTTGCCAATCGCGCGACCGTGCCATGGTTCTGGAGAGAGGGCCTCGGGGAGGTTCGTTGGGATGTTCTTGGAGGCCGCTCGGAGGCTTCCAGAGGCAGTTGTGAAGCCTTTCGGGACAACCGGGTGGCCTCTTAGAGGGATAGTTTGGCTTTTGAAGGGTTTCTGGGGGCCTCCTGAGAGCATCTTGGGGCGATCCTTGGGCCGTCGTGGGCTGGTTCGGAGCATGGTGGGAGAGGTGGCACTTCGACAGTCTGGAAGCTCTTGGGGGCCCCTTGGGCCGTCTTCAGGCGCTAGGCGGTGTTGGGGACCTCGTGGGGCTCGTTTGGGGGCCTCTTGGGCAGTTCGGGGGCGATTTGGGAGGCCTCTGAGGGCAGACAGCCTCAGACTGAGGCTGTCTTGGAAGCGTCAAGCATGAAAAGGCGAATGCGCTGAAAATGTAAGTTTTCCCCAGGGAACGGGACGATTTTTGCTTGGGGCCTTCTTGGTGGTCTTCTTGGAGCCCTGTGCAAGCGTCTTGGAGGCTTCTTGGGGAGTCTTCAGGCCATCTTGGTGTCAGCTGAGGTTTCTGGAGGCCCTATTCGAGCCCTCTTGGCTGTCGTGCAGTCGTGAGGAGCCGTCCTGGAGCCTCCCGGGGAGGGCCAGACCCCCCCTGGTGAGTTCACCTGGCGGTCGTCCGCGGCCGGGGGGTGGAGGTCAAATTTCCGGTCTGGAGCTCCCGGAGGGGGATCATGGCGGGGGAAGAACGTCACACGCTTACAGACCCACAATGGGTCGGCGGATTTGCTTTGCATGCCACTGCCTTGCAGATGAATTGCTATACTGTCCCTTGCTATGATTTGTATTGATGTGCTTTTGACATCTTTGCTGGCGCATATGTTTCCATGGCAACGTTTGGCATTGCAATTCCATTCCAGTGCGTTGCACGCATGGCTTTGCAGTGCTTCGCATGGAGCTTCTATCTGTCTACACTTGTCGGTAGTTCGTGTCTGCTCGGTCCGCGCGTTGTGTACGTCTTCAACTCCTGCTCCATGTGCGGATGCGCATCCGCATACAGTGCATACAGTTGTGAGCTTGTCAAGGACTGGAGCTTGAAGAAACCGAAGCACACTCGAAGCGCGCGCGTGGTTCTGGCATAGTTCCTCAAGCATGCTTGCACTTAGGGGCTTTTACTTTTGTTTCATAAGCAATTGGGCGGGTTCGCCGAGGATGCTCCACGTTGCCGCCCCGTGCGGCCTCGTGGGCGCCCCTTACGCTGGGTGGGTTCGCTGCACGTTCCCGCCCGTAGCGCCTCGTGGGCCCTCGTGGGCGCCCCGTGCGATGAGCTTACACCACATATATAGCTTGAACGACATAGCTTACTTCACATAGCTTACACAGCATAGCTCATACCACACAGCTTGCACCTCCAGCTCACACCGCCTGTATTACATGTTATGGCCTACAACTCATGACTTGCACCGCGTAGCGTTCACCGCCATGGCTTCCGCATCGCTTACCCGACATAGCTTGCCCCACACAGCTTACACCGCATAGCTTTCACGTCCACAGTGGCTCTGGGACCATCCCGCCATTGTGCCTGGGTTGTAGGTCAGGGGCTTCTTGGATGTCTGTGGGAATATTTGGGGAGTCCTCTAGGAAGCCTTTTGGAGGCGGTTTAGGAGTGTCTTGGGAGCCTCCCAGGGACCTCTCGGAGGCCTTCATGGGACTCTTGGAGCATGAGTTGGATTTTCCCGCCGATCACAAACGAACTCTCCAAGCAGAGGCACCTGATCGTCAAGACAAGCAATAACCAAAATTCGACCATTGCTATACGCAAATACGGAGGCAGCATGGCTGTCCTGTCGTCATATCACGCCCGAATGTGCCAGTGGGCAGGGGGGTATCATTGCATCGTGTGTTGCGTCGTGCCATGCTGAGTCAAATTGATGCGTGACGTCTACTTAATTCCTGCACGCGCAGCCAAGTTCAGGCAAGCGTCGCGCTTCGTCCCCTAACCACAATTGAGGCCAGATTGAGTCGCTGTGACGCGTGTGGCGGTGTTTGGTGAGTGCCGCAGCGCTTGGTGCGTGGAGTACATCCAAGCCGCGGCCAGGCACTGCCCCAGCCGTGGCCAAACACCGCTCCAGTCGCCAAGCAGCGGTCCAGGCAGTCAGAGTTCGGGTGCATCCACATGGCGGTCCCGGCCAAGAAGTCAGAACTCGGTGGCCACGGCGCGGGCGGGGTCGAAGGCAGGATTCGGGGCCACGTACACAGTTGTAGAGGCCTTTTTTGCAAACCGCTGCCTGTGAGACTAGCAGCGCCCCGCAGCTCCAGAGGGAACCAGGCGGTCAGGGCATCACAGACGTCGCACCCACGCACTGGGCAAACCAGGACACCAGACGTAGCCAAGGGATCCGCCACATGGCGTTTGCATGCTGTTGCCAGCACAGTGGGAGGGTACGGTACAGTCGGGCCCCCCCCAAGATTGCCATGTAACCTTGCCCTTGTTTCTGCATCGGCCAACCGATGCTGTTGACAAGCATTTGCAATTTGGACGTCCAAGGGCATTGCACTTTTGTTTTGCGCCCTCATGCCTGGCTTCGACTGCACGCAAGCGAAGGTCGTCCTCCGCGCGGCCATGGCCCGCAGGAGATGACTCACGACCTCGAGATGAACTTCAACAAGATCGCACCCTTCGGCAAGGAGGATACCGTGACCTGGCAAAATTACCGCGGGCTGGGAGTGGGTAGGCTGGCTTAGGATAGTGAGGATAAATCGCTCCAGAGCATTCTGAACACTCAGAGCGTTCTGGAGCACTCCGGGATGGCCGCGGCACCCGATGCATCCAGAGCCGCCAGCTCTCAGAGATGCTCGCTGTATCCTTCTATGGACTTGTCCTCATCCTGCTGCTGTCTTAGTGTGCGGGCTGGCAGAGGGGCAAGCGACGCGCCAGACGCGGCGCGAAGGATTTGCGGAGGAGGTGAAGAAGAAAGAAGGCCTGGGACGGAGAGGGCTCGGGGAGAGAAGAGCGACGCGAGCCCACGGGCAGAGAATGAGAAGAGAAGGTAGAAGAGTACACAGAAGGAGAAGCAGCGCGTGAGGCGGAGCAGGAGGAGGAGGAGGAGGGACAGCAGAGAAGAGGACGGACATACAGACAGACACGGGAGGAGAGAGGAACGGGACCAGGAGCGGAACTCCGAGAGGGTCTCTCGGTCTGCTCCAACAGGCGACGCTCGACAGGCCCTGAGTGAACAACAACAAATATGTCGGGATATGATCGGAAGGAAGAATGGTGGGACTACGCTGAAATTTTCAACTCCCTGAACCAGAAGCCCCCATCCGACTGCACTACCCACGAGGGGCTCACAGAAAGAGAAGCGAGAGGGGAAGATGGGAAAGACCATTTTTTGAAATCGAGTCAGGCAAGGTCGCCTGCAGTCACTCAGGGGTCTCAGTTGTGCGATCCCCGCAGCCCCAGCAGTCGTCCTCTCGGTGCAGCTCCGCCTGAATGGCGCTCGATTTGTTGCGTGGGCGGCACATCCCACGACGTGTCACTCGATCCAAACTTGTGCGGGCAGAGGATGCGGAGAGTCTCATCGCGCTGCATCTGATGGATTTTCAATTGTTCGCGAGCGCAGCCCGATGTGATGATCTTGGATGTGACCAGCCATGCCATTGTCGGCCAGGGCCGCGAAAACCCACCCGTCCGAGCACCCGTCGATGAAGCGATAAGCACTCGTCGGTGAAGTGAGGGGTAGTTATCGCATGCGGTCGCATCGAGGAGGGTGGCTGTCGGACAGCAGGAGGAGTGAGGGAGTGATGAGGGAGGAGGGGCAGCAGCAGCAGCGGGAGGCACGGGCGGATGAGGAGGAAGGGAGGGAGGAGGGATAGAGGACTAAGTTTCGGACTATGTTATTCCGGACGGCCCCCGGGGGGTCCCCGAGGGGCCGGGCGACTCCCCGGCGCGGGAAAACATCCGCCCCCTGGGCCTTCGGCTCCCGCGCCTTGGGGAGCCGGGGGCGCCGCTGCCCCAGGGGGGGAGCGCGGCGCCCCCGTCCGCCAAGGGGTGTGGGATGGGCGCGTCCGGTCCCCCCGCAACGCCTCAGCCGCGGGTCCGCGTGGCCGCGAGGGGGGTTGCCCCCTCCCACTGCACCATCTCCCACCCCGGGCTCCCCATGCGAAGAAAGGCGCGGAGGGGAGGGGCGGGGGGGGAGGAGGCGACCATCCTCCGCGGCACCGTCGGGGCGCTACCGCTCGCGCCCCGCGTGGCCGAGTTCGGCCGGAACTCGGCCACGCGCCGGGCGGGCGGCGGCGTCCTCCCACCAGCGCGCCGGCACCCCACCGGCACCCCCCCGAGCCCCCCACGAGAAGAGGAAAAGTGGGGGGAGGTGGGGGGGGGGGGGGGCGGCCCTCCTCTGGGGCCCGCTACCCCGTCAGCGCTCCCGTCCGCGCCCCGCGTGGCCGAGTTCGGCCGGAACTCGGCCACGCGTCGCGCGGGCGGCGGCGTCCTCCCACCAGCGCGCCGGCCCCCCAACGGCCACCAGGGTGGCTGTCGGACAGCAGGAGGAGTGAGGGAGTGATGAGGGAGGAGGGTCAGCAGCAGCAGCGGGAGGCACGGGCGGATGAGGAGGAAGGGAGGGAGGAGGGATAGAGGAAAGGGGGAGGGAGGGAGAGAGGGAGGGAGGAGGGAGGGAGGGATGAGGAAGGGAGGGAGAGAAGAGGGGGAGCAGTTGGAGGAGGGAGGGAGGAGGAAGGGTGGAGGGTGGAGGAGGGAGGGAGGGAGGGAGGGAGGGAGGTAGGGAGGGAGGAGGAAGGACGGTGGAGGGGGAGGAGGTAGGGATGAGGAGGAGGGTGGTGGCTGCGTCGGGCAGCCGGAGGAGGGAGTGAGGGATGGAGGAGGAGAGGGAGTGAGTGAGTGAGGGAGGGAGTGAGGGAGGGAGGGAGGGAGCACGCCAGCGACTAAGAAGTCATCGCATTGGTTTATTTACCTCCAGCTTTCTATGCATGATTGACGCTGTGTGTTCCGCGGCTGCCCTGGCTCAAACTCCGAGGCCCCACGGGCTTTCAGCGCGCGCGCGCCGCGGCGCACGGGGGAGCTCCTCGGGTTCGCCTTGCAGGAGGTGATCCGGGGCTGGCGGCTTTCGGCGCGGCGGCCGGGACAGTCAGCCAGTGCCCGGTGCCGCCGCCATGCCCGGCCTGCGCGCTCAGCTGCGAGCCCTAGGGTCCAGCCACGCTGGCTGGTGCCGCGCTTGCCTGGGTGGCCACCCCGGCGCACGCGGCCTTCGGCCGGCGCCCGGCCCCCGCGCAGCCGGCGGCGCCTTTGCAGCCGGTCGCCCTCTCGCCCGGCGCCCCTGTCAGCCCGGCAGAGGCGGCGGCCGCCCAAACCCGCGAGCTGTGCGCGCGGAAGCCGCAGCTGGCCGGCCCTTGAGATGGCGGCGCCCGCGGCGCACCCGCTCGCCTGCTACGGGCTTCAGGAGGCGGATTTCATTCTCTTCGGGTGCGTGGGCCACCCTGGCACCCTGCGCGAACGGCTCATCGTGCTGGCGCCTTCCGGGGCGGTGCTGGCGTGCACACTCGCACCCGACGACGAGGAGAATCTCTTCGGCATCGCGGACGTTCGGCGCTGGCAGTCGTTCGATGGCGGCCGCGTGGGAACGCACCTGCCGCGGCCGCGGGGGCCCACGTGCACGGTTTCCGCGGCGTCCTCGCGCCTGCGAGGATCGGCCAGGTGCTGACGGCAGCTGCCACGCGGCTCAGCGTGGTGTTCGCCCTGGGCGCGATGGTGGTGCCCAACCTCGTCGGCGCCGGCCGCCCGCGCGTCGTGCTGGTGGCGCCTGCGCCCGTGGCCCCGCCCGCCGCGGGCATGCCCGTGCCCGCCGCAGCCACTGGGCCCGCCGGGCCGGGCGTGGCCGGCTGCATCGCTGCTGGGGCCGCCTGTCTGCCGCGCAGGCGTTCCCACCGGCGGGGGCGCCCGCCTCTGCGGCGCCCGCCGCTGCCGCCGCCGCCGCTGCGCCCGCGGCCCCTCCGCCCGCCACGATCGGGGCCCCGCCCCCGGTGGCGGGCCCAGCGGCCGCTGCGGCTGCCAGCGGGGCCGCCAGGATCCGCCCGGTCTCCTGCGACCTGCAGGGCCAGCGGCACGTGGACTACCGCTCGGCGGTCTCCACCACGACGGAGGACCAGTTCCCCGACTGGCCGGTCAGGGCCCCCCGAACGGTCCCCGCTGGGTCTTGGGGTTCATGGAGGCGCGCGGGGGCACCCCGACGGGCCGCCACTCTAGGTGGCTCTCGGAGGCCCGGCTCCAGGGCAACGAGCCGGGCGTGGAACGAGCACGAGAGGCTTGCAGGACCTCCGAGAGCATGGCGGTCCACGATCAGCTGAACGTGGCGAACCTCGCCTCCGTCGAGATGCTGGCGCGCGCGGTCTAGCTCCAGGCGGAGCGCTACCGCGACCGCGCGGTGCCCGCTGTGGACGCCGCGCACGCGGATGCCTCGGCCATGCTGGGCGCCGACCAGCTGCGCGGCAACGCGCGCGTCGCCCCAGCCTCGCAGGACTACTACAAGGGCGAGGTGGCCAAGTCCAGCGCCCACGTGCAAGAAGGGGCAGCGCGCGGCCGGAGAGGAGCGCGCGGCTGCCAAGAGGGGGGCCAAGGGCGCGAAGGGCTTTGGCTTGGCCAGGATGACAAGTGACCTCGGAGCGGGGGGCGGAGTTGGGCGGCCGCTCCCGCCAATCAGCCGCCAGGCAAGCGCGCTGCCGCAGCGCCTCGCCCACCGCGCCCGCCTCGCGGCGCGCCTGTTGGGGCCCGGCAGCTCGACCTCATCCCGCTGCCCCACTTGGCCGCGCCGCTGGAGGACAAGTTTTGTGGGCAGAGTCGACGTGCGCGCCGCCGCCGTGGCGCCACTGCGCACTGGCGATCCTGGGCCAACGATGCCACTGATGTCACGTATGCTGCGTGTGCTCTTGGTCCCCAGCCGTCAACCGTTGGACTTTCCGGAGGTCAGCGTGCGCCCCGCGCGCGCATCCAGTCCGCCTTCACCAGCTTGGAGCCTCCTCCTGACGGCGATGGTCTTCGCGACGGATCACTCGCGGAGCTCCCCTCTGGACCCCCGTGCACGACTCAGGTGGACCTCGACGGCCATAGTCGCGTGACTTGATCTCGCGGCCGGACGTTGGCGACGCCCCCGTTCCCATCGCGGACGTCGTAGCCGACCCGGGCGCCCAGTGGTATGGGGCTTGAGCTCGAGCATGCTGCGCGATCGGAGCGACGCGGGTGCCCTCCTGTAGCGCGTTTGTCCTCGCGGGCCGTTCGTCGACCCGCATCGCTCTTGCTCGCCGTCGGTCCACGCCGACTTCCCCGCCCAGATGCACGAGCGCAGGATGGTCTGCTTCCAAGCGGGGGATCCTAGCATCAAACCAGTTGGCGTCTTCTGCGCGGCGAAGAAGGGCGGCCTGCTCAGACTGATGTTTGACACTCGCGCCGCCAATTCCAACTTCGCTGGCCCGCCTGCCGCTACCTTGCCGAGCGCAGCCGCCTTCGCCGACGCGGAGGCGCTGGGCGGGCGAGTTGTGATCGCCGCCGGGGACATACGCAACGCATTCTACAGGATGGAGCTGCCTGACGGCTCCAAGTATAGTTACTGTCGGCTGCCACCGATCGACAAGCGCCACCGCGAGGCCCGCGGCATCTCTGCGCCGCCGGCTGTTAGCCG